AGATATGCAAGAATGGACCTAAGAAAAGTTTGAAATTCTGATGTTTTACTATGTTTTAAAACATCCAGAAGAAAGAAATAGGAAGATTGGACTTTTTGTTAGTCCACAAATGGACAGAATGAAAAATATTAAAATGAAGGGAAAAGAATAGTTGTCTAATCTAGAAAAACAGTACATTTGATAAAAATAAAAAAAACCTCTGTTTTGCTTTTGAGTCTAGAGTCTCACATAGTCCTGGCTATCCATACACTCTAAGTAGCCAAGGATAACTCTGAACTCCTGCTCCTCATCTTCACCTTCCCTCCCAAGTGCTGGGATTACAGGCAAGAGCTACCACAACCAGTAATATGTATCCACAACAGAAAATGCTTTCATTCTAGGGAGGTTAAATTCACTTATATCATTGTTATGCAAATCAGCTGAAGCAAGGTCAAAAATGGCAAAACTTACTTAAAACAATAAGAGCTTTTGAAACAGGTTACCCATTTAGCCCCACTGTTATATGTGGTAATTTTTTAAAGTAAGAAATACCCTGTTCTAAGCAACAATTTTCTAAACTTAATCTACTTACACCTTTTAGACAATGACAAATCATAATCCTGTTTCCTTTTGGTTTAAAATCCATTCTAAATGCCTTTTGGAATGGGATTCAAGAAAAAGAAAAAGCAAGAGGGCTTATGGGATCTAGAGAAGGATGATGCACTCAAGTACCAGATGCAGATATGACTATGAAGTCAAAGCCTCTACCAAACTATGGTAAAGGCAAAATGTTAGAGAAGTAATTTGTAGTTAATGTTTGGAAGTCAACCAGAGACAGCAAACCTCCTCTGACACCTTCTAGACACTTGAGAACTTTTAGACTTTGTTGGCCACGTACTTAACTTTAGTAAGCACACAGGTGTGCAGATGTACTCTTCATGTAAGCAGGTGGACTTTGTATTTGACGTAAGGGCCATGGACTGCCGAACCCTGATCTAACTCAAGCCCTAGGGATCTGCTTTGTTAAGAGCTACACTCAAACTCAGTGGTTTACCTGGTAATAGCTGTTGCTCCTTTTCCTAACTCTCAGCTATGAAAATATTTTAGTATTTTAAATTCTTTTCCATTGTGGCCCATGTAAAAAGCCCCATTTTTCCAAAGACTGTTCAATTATGACTCAGTCAATATTCCTTAAATAAATAAGTATACAAATAAGAAACAGGGCATATTCAGAAGAGAAAATAAATTATGCCTGCTTACATATCTTACAGGATTTAAAATTTTTCTGATTAAGTGCTTTTCTACTACAATTAAGAAGTCTTTTCATTTTCCACTGCTTCTATTTCTTTAAATTAGACCTTCTTGTTTTCAGAGAGGAAGAGGCAGGTGGATCACTGTGAGTTTGAGGTCTACAAAGTGAGTCCAGGACCTCTAAGGTTACAGAGAAACCGTCTTGAAAAACAAAACAAAACAAAACAAAAAAAAAGAAAAAGATCTTGTTAAACAAAAAGTAATTTACACAAGTTAAAACAAAACAAAACTAGTATGACTGTGTAAAAGCCATTTCTTGGACAGAGAACCACTCAACAATGAAAATGAAATTCCAAAAGTCACTCTCCCACCAGACAATCTGACCGCAGCTAGATTTGCTTTGTTGTGAGGCAGGGACAGTCTATACTTACTTCTTATTGTCTTTGGAACAGTTTCACTGATAGCTGGAAACAAACAAAGCAATACAAGAAAAAATTTCCTAACTGCTTTCTTTCTTCTTTGTCCTTTTCAGATTAATTCAGTTTTATGTAGTCAAGACTAGATTTAGCTCTTTAGTACAATAAAATGGAATAGGGGCCAGGTGTGGTGCTACGTGCCTGTAATTTCAGTACTCATGAGGTTGAGTCTGAAGGACTGCTATGAGGTCAAGGCCCTGCTGGGCTATGTAGTGAGGATCAGGACAGCAAGGGGCTACACAGCAAGACCCCGTCTCAAATATCCAAAATCAAAATAAAACAAAAAAAACCCCCAGACTATGGAGTTCCATGGAACTTACATAAAAGTCAACTCAGTTTAGAGGTAATTATGGTTTTGAGTAAAAGGAGAAGAATTCATTAGGAAGAGCCTTTCTGTGTAAATACAGTGATACTGCCACGTGGGAATGACATCGTTTATACCAGTATCAGAATTCAGAGAGAATAAAGTCTATTTAGAATGAAAACAGATACACATGTGGTCAATTCTCTTTTGCTTTTGCTGAGAATACTGGATAGCTCCTCTGCTTTCCAAGTGCCACTCAGTGGTAACGGTCACTGCATTAAGTTAACTGCTGATGATTTAGCTCTCCCTGCTAATACAGTTCCCCTCACAAGGTGACGTGTGCAAGTCAAGATTTGGTAGTTAGTTTCAGCATCAGCTAAAGTCCATTTAGTACACCCTTAATGAGCATACTGCTGGTATGCACCACTATTGGCTAACCCTTATGACCCTACAGTGATGTCAGCAAAGAAGTAGGACAATGTCACAGTGAATCTGGATAAGAATCCTGAATATTTAGAATGGTTTCACTTCTAATGGAAGATTATTTTTTTGCAAACTTTAATTTGTCTCAAAGGTAGCCTGGTAGAAGTCTCATGAATTTCATGGCTCTGATTTGGCTAATTAGAGGAGAGAACCAGCAAAGAAGATTGTGCTGCTGTGGTTCTAGGACAAGAAGCACTCTATTCACAGTATCAGTACAGTAAAAACCTATTAGAATGAGTGAAAACGGAAGGGAACCCGCCAAACATGCATTCAACAGACTCTACCTACCCCATTCAAGCTGTTTTTGGCTGACCTGGAGGGAGTGCTGGTAAGTGCTTGCAAGTTTCTTTTTATAGAAATTACTGCACTTTACCTTTACAATTTGGTAATAGTTAAATGCTGTATTTTCTCACAAATAATCTAAAAAGCTAACAATGCAAAAAACAACTTTGCAGCATACAACTTAACTTTTCAAAAGAGTAGACTTGAAATATTTTTGGTTTGCTTAAAAAAATTTCCATCTAAAGCAGCATCTTCTGTACATCCCAGCTACCTGTATGATCAGTAATGACAAGATCCGTCTACTGAATGCCTCCAATCCAAGCTAAAAAGTTTCTCTAGAGCTTTAACCCTCCGGTTTTTGTGCCACTGAGCACAGTAATCCTTGAGGTGGCTCTAGCAGACAGTTTTCACTCTACCATGCTGTTGCCCAACTAAGTAGCAAGAAGCCCACTATTATGAAGGATGAGATACTATTCTCCAGTGCTGCTTTTGAGGGCAGGCTCTTCAACTAGAGCAATGTAACACTCCTTCAAAAGATGAATTTCAAAACCAAAACAAAACCAAAACAAAGATGCATTTCTATACTTCTTCAGAAGAGTAAACCTTTCTCTAGTTTTAACAGTATATGAGTCTCAGATCGTTTAAAGCCACTCTTTGCACTCCAGTTTCTTATCAAAACTGTCTTTCCCACCTTTCCATATATCACAAAGTACTCACAAGATAGGAGCACACAAACTTCACATTCTCATAAATGGTGCAGTTTCTTATCAAAACTGCCTTTCCCACCTATCCAAACACCACACAGTGCTCACAAGAAAGAAGCACACAAACTTCACATTCTCATAATTGGCTCACTAGTGCAGGTAGGACCAGCCCATCACCCAAAGCTCTTAGAATCATCCACATCCCTGTACTAAAACAACTACACATTTAAGTATGCTCTTAAAATCACTCAAGCTAGAGACTTCTTCCTATTTGTACTGTAGACTGCAGGCATCTGTTTGCCTGTATTGTTTAACATCCCTCCTTCTCTCTCTGCACGCAAGACAGGCCATATAAAGCTCTACATGTTTGGTAAATTCTTTCAGAGCTGGATTAAGAATCTTAGAAAAATGCAGTATCACAAAAAAAAAAAAAAAAAAAAAGCCCCTTGAAGTCTTAGGAATGATTATGTAACACCTGATAAGAATTGATCCCTTGATCATTTATTGCAACATGACTGGGCATGGTATTTTCTTGTAAGTGAACTGCCCTGTAGTGTATTATAAAAAAAAACAAAACAAAACAAAACTCAAAGCTCTTGGAATCACCAGCAATTTTCTAATGGGTTTAAGATGCAGGCCCAAGACAGATTTTAAGTGAGGGTCTTCATTGGATTGAAAATATAAGGTACAAAACATGTAGAAGGAAATGAAACTGTGGTTGCAATAAGAACAATAGTGTTGAATCTCCAACTATAAGATTGCAGGAAAAAACTGTTTAAAAACATCATATAAAAGTTATCAAATGTGGAGACCTGTGGATTTAAAAATACAATCCAGCCTCATTTCACTGGAAAGTGACATTTCCAGTACAATATTGCTGTTATATGGAACTAGGAGCTGAAGAGGATGAACTTTTGGTAGTCAGCCTAACAGGTTAATTCACAGAACTAGAAACATCTTTCTAACACCCAAAGATGTATGCAAGTGCTATGGTTTACAAACACCAAACAGGAAGTTGCACTTCACCTCTGCGATGCACAGTATTTGCAAAGCACAAAAGCACTTCCTTCCCTGCTCCTCTTTCTCAAGCGCCCACGTGAAGAAGTGCCCACTGTAATGCTTGGCTGCTCATTTTACTTCTCTGTGCCTAAAGTGCTTCAGGTGACACTGCCTGCTAGAATGCTGCTCCATGGTAGCTGATCACATCAAACAACCAGGCAAAGTATTAGATGCCTTGACAGGGCAAGAGCAATTATAACCTTTTAGAGTATTAAGAACCACCAGTATCCTTTTTTTTTTCTTCCTTAAATTGGAAATGCATGCTCTGGCAGGGAAGAGGAAGGAAAGATTCCCCTTTCTCACCGTGGTGACTACCTTTCCCTCTTCTGATAGGCTGTGTCAGTTGGCCAAAGATCCTGTTGCTTTTTGTATTTTTTTAGAACTGGGTTTTAACCCTTCAAGATGATATGGACCTAAGTACAATGTTCAATCATGACTGGTAGATAAATGACCATTCATTGATCAGTTTTGTTAAAAACATTTTTTTTTCTTATAAAGTTAACAAACCAAGGCTGTTGATCCCTGAATTAGAAGCTGATTTGCTTGATTATTTTCCAAAGTGTGAGGTGGAAAGAGGAGAAGAGCCTTTAGTGCTTTCTGCATGTTGGTCTTCTAATTTGGCAACACCATAGGTACATCTTCTAGTAGAGCGATGTGGCATTTTGTGAATCTAAGTACTAGCCCATGGTCCTGATAGGGGCTGGTAACGGCCCAAAGGGGAAGAGGGTCTGCCCCCTCCCCCTCCACGTTTCAATCTGGCCCAGTAGTAGACACTGAGCCCTGGGCAGATTCCCCAGGAGCAACTGTTTCTTCGTGAGAAGGTGACCCTTCTTCAGCTTGCCGAGATGTGACAGTTGTCTCAGGAGAAATGCTATGAGGCCCTTCTAGGGGTATACAGCCAGGGTGGTTTTTTCGAAAGTGCTGATTCAAGATGGCCTGAAAGGGGAAACTTTTGCCACACACATGACAGTGAAAGGGCTTGTTGCCTGTGTGCTTTCGGATATGATATTCCAGCTGATCTTTTCGGGTATACTTTTTCCCACACATGCGGCAGACAAATGGTGTGATTCCCATATGCAGGCGCATGTGGCGGTCCAGACTTCCCTTTTGGTTGAAAGATTTGGCACAGTAGATGCAGGTGAGTCGGGGATTATACCGGAACCACCGTTCAGATACTTCCTGTTCTCGGAGATACTCCACATAGCCGCTTACTCCCATCATAGCTGACTCCTCTACCTGAGACCAGAAAAAGAACCTACGTGAATATTTCATAACATTAAGCATAGTTAAAAGCAACCCAAGCTACTTGTACCTGTTCTAAGATGTATGCTTTTCTGTATCTATGTGGTGTAAGGAATAGAATACAGGGCCTTGTGGAAGCTAGGCAAGTGCTCTATCCCTTAGTTACATCCCTAGTCCATCTACACTTATAATGGAGAGCCAAAAGAGAGGTTTATTACTACACAAAAAGTACAGATATTAACATAATAATGAAAAAGGAATTCTGAGAGTATTATTCCATTGCTATAAAAAGTGCAATGCAAAGTTCTGACTGGTGAACTGGGTATTTATTAAGCCTTTGCTATACTTGAGAAGTAAAAACAGCAGGATTAGGAGTTCAAACTACCTTTGGCCACATAGGGAGCTGAAGACTAGCCTGGACTACATGTGATATGCTTCAAAACAAAAACTAAAACAAAAGCCAAACCAAAACTTTCTGCTTATGCTATTTTATAGTAATAGGAGAATATGAGCCCACAATCCTATCCCTTGATTCTATCCTTACTACTGTATTCTCGACAATCGACTACAGAGTATATACAACTTTTTGTGATGAAAATGTTCTATAATTTGAACTACTCAATGGAGTAACCACATGGCTATTAGGATTTGTCATATGCCTAATACAACTGAGAAAAAAATTTCAATTACTTTTAACTAATTAAAGCAAAAATTCAAACGTGGCTTTTGTCTACTACATATGAAAGTATAGAATATATAAAGGCAAGTACAATAAAATTTCACTCATGATATCATCATTACCATGTTAACCAGCAGTAGCTAGCTTTACACTATATATGTATATGTGATGTATAGGCAATAATGTAATATACCAGCACATCATTATCATTCTAAAAACTAAAAACAATTTTTCTACTTTCTAGTATTTCATGTGGATGGGTGTTTGGCCTGCATGTATGTGTGTGCATCATGTGCCTGGTGCTCTGGGAGACCAGAAGTGGGTGCCAGGGCTCCTAGAACTGGAGTTACAGACAGTTCTGAGCTCCATGTGGACACTAGGAATTAAACCTGGGTCCTCTGAAAGAGCAGCCAGTGCTCTTAACCACTGAGTTATTTCTCCAGCCCCTAAAAACTAACAAGCTTTACCTGACTTCAGAGTACAGTGGTTGAAAACATGGGATTTTCTCATCTGACAACTGGAAGGATAAGAATATATTCCTTTAAACAACTAACTTACAAAGTTTGGGATTTGGCTCCAGAAAATGGCTCAGTCGTTAAGAAACATATGCAGAATTTGAAAAATAAGAAAGCTGGGTATGGTATGCATGTCTTTAATCTCAAAACTTAGAGGCAGAGGCCGACGGAGCTCTGGAGTTCCAGGCCAGCTTGGCCTCCACAACTACATAGCCAGACTCTGTCTTAATAGACAGTGATAATAAAAAAGTAAAATGAAACAATAGAAATAAATCTTAAAATGTTTGGAGTGATTAACACTTTTAGCTCAAAATTTTATGTTAAATGCCACCAATCAGAAATTACTAATTTAATTTTTTTTTGCCTGCTGACTACTAAAGTCATTAAAATTTCTCTGACCTGGAACTCACTTTGTTGACCTGGCTGGCTAAAATTAATTTTAAAACAAAATCCTGTAGGAAATAATTACAACTAGGGCTGCATTGAAAAATCAAAACCAAAACACCACCAAAAATCTATATAAATAAAATAATTTCTTTTACTTTTTATTTGTCAGTTTGATACGTGGTATTACTCTACAGCCTTGGCTGATTTCTCTATGTAACTAAGTCTGGCTTCAAACTTAAAGTGCTCCTGCTGACTCAGTTTCCCAAGTGCTGGGATTATAGGGGTTAAACAACCACACGTGAAAAGCTGTACACTCACTAAACAAGTATCCCATGTACTTGACATGGACTTTGAAGTTTCCCATCACTTCATTCTCTAATTGCTATCAGATACTCAAAGAACTGAAAACAAATTAAAAAAAATCATTAATATTATTATCTTTTCCGAGACAGGGTTTCTCTGTGTAGCTTTGATCCTGGACCTGCTTTGTAGACCAGGCTGGCCTCAAACTCACAGTGATCCACCTGCCTCTGCCTCCTTGAGTGCTGGGCTTAGAAGTACGTGCCAGCCACTGTGCCCAGCTTTTTTTTTTTTTCTCGGTATGTGTGTGTATAGTTTTACTAATATTATTTTAAAGATCTTCAAAACTGGGAATTTTAGTTGTCCCCTTAAAATGGAAGTTTCATAAGCAACCAAATAACTTCCTATTTAGTAGATATATCCTTCATAGTTTATGATATTTGCAATGACAAACTATAGAATCATTATATTCAAGTAAAACTGACAAGATAATGTCAAAGATATATACATTTAGAAAGTCTGCTTCCAAGGAGACCTCAATTTAATAAAAACCACGAAATCAGGGGCTGGAGAGATGGCTAAGTGGTTAAGAGTAATGACTGCCCTTCTAGAGACCCCAGTTCAATTCCCAGCATCTACATGGCTGCTCACAATTGTCTGTAACTCCTATTCCAGGAGACACCCTCATACAGACACTGTAGGTAAAACACCAATGTACATTAAAAACAAAACAAAATCAAACAGGAAAGGAGTAATTTGTATGAAATAGTAGAGAATCAGGAGAATTTAAGAGGCAGAGGATTTTCTTCAGTACAGAGTGCTTGCCTTCCTTCCTTCCCCACCCCAAAAGAAGAAGAAAAATGATGCAGTGTGTAAAATGCTGTAACAGTAGTTTAAGAAAATACAACAGATCAAAGAACACTGGATTGATCAGGGTAGGTAGAACTTGGGAATAGGGCTTTACGTGGACTCAGAAGAATGAGGAATCTCAGTGAAAACGAGAAGAATTTGAAAGGGATTTAGCATGCACTGAGAAGTCTATAGATAAAACAGACAGTGAATGCTGATGAGCAGGCGGACAGTTGAGCTTGAAAAACTGTAACTTAGATGCAAAATTAGGCCAAGTATTTTTAACCTCCCAGTGGTAGCAGAAAATGATTTTAAGACCTAACTTTGGCACTCGGTTCCAGATTCTCCCTTTACAGTCAGAAAGTCTAGTCTATCAAGTTAAAAATCTTTTATGATATTTATTTATTTGTATGTTTGTACATGAACCATGTACACAGAAGTCAAAGCACAGATTTTTTTTTTTCTCTTAGCATTGGTCAGCCCTGCCTAGCGGCAGCTGTCCCACTCACCAAGGGCCAGACACGGAGGGTTGGAGGCTAGAGGGGCTCACTGCTTTCGGATTTTCACAATGAGTTTACCCCTCAATCCCAAGCCTTTTCTCAACTGACTGACAGGGAAGCAGTGATGGTAAAACTTAGGTGGGAACTGGAATACAAGGGTTACCTAGTCTCTGTAGATGGCTGCATTAACACGCAGCTTGCAAATACAGAAGATGGGGCATTGTCTGGGCATCTGGGTTAAGTTCAAATAAGGTGTAATAATGTCCTTCATATCAGAGGTGTTGAAGAGGAGGCCGAAGATGGGGAAATGAGAAAATAGCATCTCTGGGGAAACTGTTATATCCAATAAAGATCTGCTTTGTTTGTTTGTTTCTGTTTTTTTTTTCTTTCGGAAAAAAAAAGTCAAAAGACGACTTGAGGGAGTGTGTTCTCTTCTTCCAACATGTAGGTCCTGGGCATGGCCCTCAGAATGGAACTCATCAGATTTAGCAGCAAGTGCTTTTATCTGCCGATCTAGCTTGCTGGCCCTAACTTTTTTATTTTTTGGTTGTTGTTTGTTTCTTTGTTTTTTAAGGGTTAGAGTTCAAATCCAAGGCCTCATAAAATTCTTTTGTTGAAGTGCTGGGCATTGAGCCTATGTTTCCTGTATTCAGTGCAGGCATTCTACCACTGAGCTGCAGTTCCAGTATTTCAATGCATCAGCTTTCTTTTTTTTGCTCATACTAATGTAAGTTGGCCAGTGAGATCTCTCAGCAGGCAGAGGTGCCTGCCTCCAAGCCTGACAACTGAGGCTGAGTCCCAGTGACCCACAAGATGGAAAAGAACCAACTCTTGCCAGTTGACAGCCACAAGCTTTGTGGCATGCATATGTATACATCCACACATATGCGCAAAAGCAATAAATGCAATAAAATACATAAAATTTTGCTTTACTTTGGTTTTTTATGGTACAGGAAAATGACTGGTAAGTGGACTTACTATAATATTATTTATCCTTCACAGCATTTCTGTTTGTTTGTTATGGCTGGAGAGATGGCTTGATGGTTAACAGCACTGCTGTTCTTCCAGGGGACCTAAGTTCAGTTCTCAACGACTACATCAGGTGGACTTCTTAGGCACACACAAAAGCGTGCGCACACGCACACACGCACACACACACACACACACACAAAGTCAGAGTGGGGAGAGGAAGACGGAGTATGTGTGGTATGTATGAAGATCAAAGGACAACTTACAGGAATCAGTTTTGTTCTTTCAATATTTGGTCCCATGTTGTCAGGCCTGGCAGTAGTTGCCTTTACCTAATGAGCTATTTCATAGCATTATTTATATTCTATTTCTTTCCAGACTTTATCTTTTGCTTTAGCCAGGTAAATACCCTTGTATATTTACAATATGATCTCTATCCTAGTTGAAATTAAAAACTACATCTAGGCCAGGCACGATGTTATACTCTTGTTCCAGCATTTGGGACGCTGAAGCAAAACCCAGAAACATTTAAGTCCTGGCAGAGCAGTGCATACGTAACAGTAGCCCCAGTTGCTTGGGAGACTAAGGCAGGCAGATCTTTAACCCAAAGTGTTTAAGAACAGCCTGGGTAACATATTTTCCTATCTCAAAATAGGGGAGGATGGTGTTAGAGGTATGGCTCAGTAGTTAAGCATTTGTTGCTCTCTTAGAGGACCTGAGTTCTGTTCCCAGTACCCACAACCTCCTGGAACACCTGGCGCTGTCTTGGGTTACTATTGCTCTGACCAAACACTATGGTCAAGACAATGTATTCAATAAAGCACTGAACTGGGGGCCTGCTTACAATTTCAGAGGGCTAGTCCAGGATCATCACGGTGGGGATCGTGGTGGCAGGCAGGCACGATGCTCAAGTAGAAGCTGAGAGTTCACATCTGATCCAATTCCCAGGCAGGAAGCAGAGAGTCAGATGGCCTGGTGTTGGCTTTGGAAACCTCAAGGCCTACCCTCAGTAACACACTTCCTCCAACAAGGCCATACCTTCTAACGTTTCCACAACTGAGGGCCAAGCATTCAAAAACGAGCCTATGGGGGCCATTCTCATTCAAAGTACTGCAGATGCCAAGGCCCTCTTCTAGCTTCTGCAGGCACTTGTACTCATGTGCACAAAACTAGACATAGATACACAGATAATTAAAAATAATTTCTTTTCTCTTTCTTTCTTTTGGAGGAGGAAGAAAAGGGAAGGAAGATGGAAACTACATTTAAAATGTTTAGTTAGAAGAAAAAAAAATCTACATCTGGGAAGACAGATCAAACAGTAAAGTGCTTGCCAAGCCACACACAAATTAGGACTGCGTTGAATCTCTAGAACTGCATCTGGGAAGGCACAAATTAACAGGATTCCCTGGATAACCTGCCTAGCCAAGTCTTTAAGTCTGAGGACAGCTAGATACCCTTTCTCAAGAAAAAAAGGTGCACTATCTGAGGTCTTCCTCTTCCTCCTTCTTTTTGGTTTTCCAAGATAGGGTGTCTCTGTGTAGCCCTGGCTGGCCTGGAACACACTCTGTAAACCAGGCTGGCCTCAAACTCAGAGATCCACCTGCCCCTGGCTCCTGAGTGTTGGGATTAAAGCCTTGTGCTGCCACTGCCCACTGTGAAGTTGACTTTTAGCCATCATATACACATATGACCACCCTCTACACATGTGCCTTTACACACAAACACACAAATCTGTTTAAATGTAGTACTTAATTATGTGGACACTAAGTCAATTAAATGCCTAGTAAGTCTAGTAAGCACTTATATTCTTTTTGTGTGTTTGTGTGATTAGTCTATACGGTTGTTAAGATCTGCCCTTATCACTGCATCTATTTGCATAACTAGCTACCTTTCTTTGTTATTATACCAGATTTGACTGATAGGGAGAAAAAGCATTCTAATTACTTTTTCTCTTAGCTCTCACTCTCTCTCTCTGTTTTGTTTTTTGGAGACAGGGTTTCTCTGTCTCCTTGGCTGTCCTGTCCTCACTTTGTAGACCAGGCTGACCCCAAACTCATAGAGCTCCGCCTGCCTCTGCCTCCCTGAGGCATGTGCCACTGTGCCTGGCTCTTAACATTTTCTTTATCACTCAATGAAAACAACAACAAAAAACAGCAGAAAGTATTGGCACACATCTGTAATCCCAGCCCAAGAGAGGCACAATCAGAAGGGTCATGTTTGAGGTCAGCCTGGGCTATGGAGATCCTGCCTCAAAACAATAACAAAACCCTTCAAAACTAAGAAACTTAGCTTTTTACTGCCACTGGTATACCAATATGCACAACAAATGATCAGTGGTTTAGATAACAAGAAATTATAAAAAATTAATTATTCTTTTTTTTTTTTTAAAGACAGGGTCTCACCATGTAGCCCTGACTGGCCTGGAATTTGCTATGTAGACCAGGTTGGCTTTGAAATGACAGCGATCCATCCACCTGCCTCTGTTCCCCAGTGCTGGCATTAATGTCACGCATTACTATGCCTGGCAATACAATCTCAACCTACTTGTATTTCCTTTTTAAGGGCTGAAGTGTCTAATTTGTTGTGCTTTATATGGTCTGCAGCTTTGAAAATTAATCCTCAATGACTAGTATCTGTAAAAAACAAACAAAAATGTCAACCAACCACTTAGCAAAGGAGAGTTGGAAAGAATACAGAAGAGGCCATTCTCCCAAGATTTTGTTTTTAAGATGGGGTTTTACTCTACAGCCCTGGCTGGCCTGGAATTCATTAAGTAGCTCAGGCCACTCAAATCTGCAGCAATCCTGCCTGTTTCCCAAGTGCTGGGATTGCAGATGTGCACCACCACATACAGCCCTTAGGACTTTATAGTATGGTGTAATATGATTTAGGAAGTAAAGAAAAAGATATGTTCACACACACACACACACACAAATACATACAATATATAAGCAATATGCTTATATAGATACACAAACAAATATTATATACACTATCAACTACATACATATATATATTCTCTACCTAACCCAAATCAAATTATTTTTAATCCAGGTTCTAAATGACCCAAAGGTATGTAACATTCGGGAGTTAATTTTACTCTCACGTTTACAGGTATATCCCTATAACCAGGAAAAAGTTCCACATTTAGAAAAAAAAAAAAAAAAAAGACTTATTTTTATGTGTAGGAGTGCTTTGGCTACATGCACACATGGGACGCGTGTGCCTGGTGTCTGCAGATGTCAGAACTGGAGTTACAGACGGTTGTACACTGGCAAGTGCTCTTAACTGCTGAGCCACTATTCCACCCTCACTCTGTTAATTTTTTCTTTCTCAAATTCTAATTCTAGAATGCTCACAAGCAAGATTAAGGAAAATCTAATATATATCAAATCCAATATTTAACAGGGTCACTGCTGTTTCTCCTACATCTTTCTTTCTTATTCATTTATTCAGTGAGAAGTTCTTCAACCAACACAGCAAACCTGAGTCCAAAACAACATACCTGGGAGCTAAGGTGCTTAGGCTCATCCATTCTCCCAGGAGACTCACTTCTGGCTCTGTGTCTTTCTGTCATGGAAACAACACTGCCGGAGGGGCTAAATCTGTTGGAAGAGGAGCATAAAGGGGACCAATAGACAAGGAGTGTCAAAGAACATGAATACTGTTTCTATGCTATCTTATAGCTGAGGAATGAAACTAAATCAAACTAAATCAAACTGAAATATTTTCAAAGTGACAAAGCAAACAGACTCCTATGAGAAGGTAAAGCTCTCTACTCTAACAGCTATTGAAAAGGGGGTAAAAATGTAATAAAACCCAGTCTGTAGTTATGTTTTGCTTTTATGAGCTATGGTCTTGCTAGCAAGCCTTGGGTGGCCTGGCACTCACTACACAGGTTAGTCTCCAAGGCTGTGTTCCTCAACCCATAGCAATCCTTCTGGTTCAACCTCCCAAGTGCTAAGATTCCAAGCATGGTCCATGGTGCCTAGCAGTTTTGGTTCTTTTATGTGACTTTTTGAGCTTTTGGTTATTCCTTCTCTTATGGTAATCTATTCATAGTTTATATAGATTAAAGATTATAATTGGGGCTGGAGAGATGGCTCAGAGGTTAAGAGCACTGGCTGCTCTTTCAGAGGTCCTGAGTTCAATTCCCAACAACCACATGGTGGTAGCTCACAACCATCTATAATGAGGTGTGGAGTCTTCTTCTGGTGTGCAGGTGTACATGCAGATAGAAACATTGTATACATAATAAAGTATTAAAAAAGATTATTATTATTACTTTTTGCATTTAATAAGGTATTTCTTCTGATATAGTTCTAATGCAGGAGGACAACAGTTACCATGCACTTGGGATGAATATGTTCTGTCCTCAAGAATACTTATAGACTGTTAAGGTCACATCAAATCAAGAATACCTAAGTGGTTAAAAAATCCTCAATCTCTGCATTATCAGCTATAAACCAAAGAAATGAGTTAGTTGGTTTTAATTGTTTTCAAGATAAATTTCACTTATTTATTTATGAAACATGTGTGTGCCATAGCATGTGTGTAGAGGTCAAAGGATAACTTACTAGAGTTCATTCTTTCCTTCTATGTATGTGCCAGGGACTGAAATCAGATGGTTATGCTTGGTTCTAAGTGCCTTTTCCCATTTCAAACTATTTTAAGCAGGGGAAAGAATAAGCCAGTTTGTAGTTCTAGTGCTTGGTAGCCTGAGGCAGGAAGAATGCTTGAGTTTGAGGTTAGCCTAGGCTACATAGTAAGCTATGTAGCCATCTTGAATTACGGAGTGAGACCCCTTCTGAGAAAACACCCAAACATGAGGCGGGCATTGGTGCCATACTCCTTTAATGCCAGTACTCAGGAGGCAGAGGCAGGTGGTTTTCTGTGAGTTGAGTTTAAGGACAGCCTGTTTTACAGAGCGGGTCCTAGTACATCCATGGCCACAAAAAGAAACCCTACATGGAAAAACAAACAAACAAACAAACAAACAAACAAAAAAACCCCAAAAACACTCCCAGAAACAACTACTACAAAAAATAAAAACGTGGTGGCTCATGCCAGTAATCCCATGACTTAGGAGGCTGAGGGAGGAGGACTACCCTGAATTCTAAAACAGCCTGGCCCACAGAAACCTTTTTCCCAAAAAATAAACGAAAATTAAAGAACATAAAATATCACCAATATAAACTAGAAACATTTTTCTTTCAATTGACTAGATGAAAGCCAGTGGTATTTCCATCTAAAGGAAATGTTCTAACAGATTCAGTGTATTAGGAAGAAAACAGTGAAGACTGTAGGTTATGGCAGCACCTGGGGTAATAGCAGCTTCAATGGAAACATCACTAGATTATACTTGAAAAACATTAAAAAAGCTTTTCTCTGGGATTACTGTACTGTATTTACTCTAAATTGAAAAAGAACAATTACTGACGGTAACAGACTTTCTCTAATTTGGTAGGTAAGGGCAAAGAGAAATACACAGTGCTACAAGGGAAGTAAAACCCTCCAAGGTTACCTACCCGTATGATGCTATATAGTGAGAAAGGGCAATGTTACCAGACTGACTACAGCTGCCTGACCAGGATGAGAGAGCCCTGGCAATTGCTGACCTAGAGCAGCTGCAGTGCTATTCTGATTCGCAGAAGTGGCTGATCTTACACAGCTCTCATACATCGTGAATACTTCAGAACTATGTGCCTCCTGCTTTGAAAACAGTGAGAGTCTTCTGGCATATGCCCAGTCGCCCAAAGTAAGCTGAATAAGAACATCAGGTAAGAAAGATGCTGTCTGTAACACAGAGAGGGCTCATTTAATGTCTGCACAATAGCTTAAAATGGGGAAACGAAACTTACCTGTCAACTTCACTGCTGGTTGGCCGAGCTACCTTGGCTCCTGAAGACCCTAAAGTGTAACTTTCCTGTCCAACAGAACCATGGCCTGTGGTGTCAATCACCATGGCTGTGACTTCCTCTGCACTACTCCCATCTTCTCCAGAAGGCTGATTCTCTGGCCCAAGCCACTCTTCCAGATTTTCAGTTTTGATGTGCACTGCTCCAAGAACCCTAACTTCATCTCCACTCCGGGAACCCTGGTCTGCTATTCCTGTTTCCACATACCACTGCCCTGCTCTGTTGATTCGAAGAATGGGCTCCCGGCTCTCTACATCAGAACTCTGTTCAATTATCTGAGGACTGGTGGACTCCTCATGGGGGCTGAGCTCTCTGATATCCAGCACAGCACTGACCTGTCCTCTCCAGTTTCCCTTTGTGGTGTTATGCCGTGGACTAAGTGAGCGGTTTAGAGTTGGTGTAACCCTGTGAGACTCTGGAGGTCTCTCTTGATGCTTCGTCCTTGTTTGACTTAGTTCTGCTTCAACCTCAGCCACATTAATTTTGAAGTGAATGCCCTCTAGGATCTGTGTACATTTGTCTATGATATGCTGCATCTGCAGAAAACTAGCGGCTGTCAGGTAGCTGATGATATCTGCTAGTTGCAGGCATATCCGCCCTGTGTAACAGAAAGAAAGGAGCTGTTCAAAAACAGTAGGGTTCTTGATGACAGAAATGGACACAGTACTCATTTCATTCAAGGACATGTGATCCCGGAAATAAGGGGAGCTGGCAGCCAGCACTACTTTGTGAGCCCGAAAAGCTTGTCCTTGCACATTGACCACAATATCACAGAGACGGCCTTGCATGCGCAGCTGGTTGAGATGGCTCAGTACGGAGTTGCTGAAGTCAGGAATCTCCAATTGTATGTTCCCACTTTTCTCCATGGTCATGCCTGAAAGTACAGGCAGACATTCAACCCTGCTGAAAGAGCAAACCCTATTCTTAGTAGTAGTTTTACTCCCTTTGTGCGAGTTCAAACAGCCCTAAAAAATTTAAATCTTCTAACAAGGACTGCCAAGTACACATATGTTATATTAGTGCCTGGGACACTGAGGCAGGAGAATCTTAAGTCTGGGCTATATAAGTGAGACCCTGTCTCAGGGAAAAAAAAAAAATTCTCCTTGTACAAACAGATTCCTTCCTTACATTTGGATGTAGAAATAGGATTGTGAGCAGGTGTTTTGTTAGTTGCAAGGTCTTACTTTAAGGCTGGCCTCTAACTTGTGGGAATCCTTGTGATCCTACCTCCCGAGAACTAGGATTAGTGTGAGCCGCTAATCCTGGCACAAGGTGTTTTAAATTCACAGTAGGATGGAATTAACACAAAAAAATGTGCCTGCTAGACCACTAAAAATTCAAGCTACAACCATACTTTATTAATAAGCTATATAGCACAAAAGATAGGAGTTCATCAAGAAGGGCATTAAACACAAGGTATTTTTCATACTGAATATAAACATCCATGTCCTTTTTTTGGAGGAGGAGATAAATTTTTGAAGAAATGTAATTATATACAGGTTGATTAAAATTTATGTGTGGCACAGGTTATGACTATAAAGTAACTAATATCCTACCTTTTTTTTTTTTTTTTTTCCTGAGACAGTGTTTCTCTGTGTAGCCCTGGCTGTTCTATAATTTGCTCTGGAGACCAGTCTAGCCTTGAACTCAGAGATCTACCTGCCTCTGCCTCCCAGGACTGCCTTGGGAGTGCTAGAATTAAGCTCCTACACCTGGCATTTGTTGGTCTGAGACAGCATCTATGTAGCTTTGGCTATTCCTGGAACTATGTAGACCGGCTAGTCTTCCAATTCACAGGGATGTGCGATCACCATGCCAGACTAGCCAGTATTTTTAAGCTTACCAACTGGAGCGTCCACTTTTTGGATATGGGACTCTGAGGTGAATAACATTCGAGAGAACTTGGAGCTTAGTTTCAAGACTTAGCAAAAACTAAGTAAAACTTCTACACAACAAACTGTAACTCTGGAATTCCAAAGTGGTGATACTTCGATTAGGAAAGTTGATTCCCCACAGCTGACAAAAATAAAAGCCCCAAAATTTACACTAAAAGTTTGCAACTTCATCAAATAATCACAATTAGTTGAGGGTAGTCTGGATATATCACAATGACTTACAGATTTAGGCTCCCCGTGCATCCAATTTAACTTCTAAATTTATGAGACTATACAGCACACCAGGAAGTTGTCCTGACAAGCTCACATAACCACCTCGCATTTACAACACACTTATTGAGTAAACAGGGAAGTGCAAACACTGCAACTTTAACCACTCTGACCTTTTTCCAAAGCGTTATTGTTTGTTTTGAAACTTTTAATCCATTAAGAGCCTCTGTCGATGCCATCACGAATTCAGATGTATATTTTGGAGCCTACACCACGCCTTTTTGTTTGCTCTCTCCAGCAATTCCCCAGTGAGGAAGAAGCCCCTGGAGTAAAGTCTTTCTCTAGCGTCGGCACTGGAGGGGCGAGAGCTGTAAAAGGGAGAGTCGGGAACGCTTGGGGTTGGCCAGTCAGGTACTGGGGCAGCATCCAGGATTGTCAGGGAGCATGGGAAAAGGGGGCCACGCTGAGCGGAGAGGTGACACAGGACCCGGGAAAAGACAGGAGCGGAGCGCGGGGCCAAGGAGGGGAGGCGCACAGGTGAGGCTCCGGAGGAGGAAGGGGGCGGCGCCCCGGGAGCCGGTACAGCCGCAGAGGCGGCGGGGGGTGTGTCTGGGTGTGTCTCCGCCGTGGGGTCCTGAGGGAGGGGCTCGCGAGGGGGCGGGCACACGGGCTCTGCAGCCCCGAGACGAAGGGGTGGAAGGTCGCCCCGCGCTCGGAGGGGAGGTGGGGCGGCGCGGCTGGACGCCCCGGGAGCTGCCTGCAGCCCAGACGCGGCCCGGGAGTGTTCAGGAAAGGCCAGCGGGGTGGGGGTGCGGGGCCCGAGCCCAGGCAAGGAGCAGCACCTACCTCCGGGGGTGGAAACGGGCCGGAATGGGCCGGAACACCGTCCCGGAAGTGAAACCCCCCGCCCCCCTCCTCCGCAGCGGGCGACGTGCCGGAAGGAAATCAGTCACCCTCACACCGCCCCTCCCCCCAGCGCTTTCCTTGCGGGAGCCCCCTCGCCTCAGCCCGAACTCCTCGGGGAGGGCAGGGGGCGGGCTCGACGTGCCGCGGAAACTCCGCCCTCCAGGCGCTGCGGGGCGTGGCCAGCCGGCGAGCGGGAGGGCGGGAAAGAGGCGGGGCTTGAGGAGCCTGAGGGCGTGGACGGGGCGGGGCTGAAGTGGAGGCCCCAGACGGCGGTGCGTCATGACGTCACGCAGCGTTTATATACTGGGTTCGGCCGCCATATCGGTCTTTCGGAGCTGCTCTAAGGTGGAAGCAGGTGGGTATGCTCTTCTGTACGTGTTATGGTTTCGTTCCTTTTGAGGCTGCAGTTTTGCGGTTCAAGCTACGGAAACTGGTGGAATTTGGGGGCCAGTGGTGAGCTTCATGTAATGCACAGACTGAAGGTTATGGGGGATTGGCGTTGAGTGTGTTCGTAATCTAAAATGATACTGAATCTTTTTCTGGAAAACCTACAAAGAGGACTCGGCATGAGGGTTTCGCTGTGATGAAGGCTATGTTGGTAGGGACAACTGACCTTGTTGATGAATACCAACAACTCTGATGGCGGAGCATGCTGAGTCACCTCGAGAGGTTTTTTTTTCTTGTGGATGTGTTGTGCGGCTAATCTGGAATGCACAGCACTGTAGTCTATTTTCCCAGATGAACATGAGGTATGAGGAGTTAGCTAACAAAAGGCCCCAAAGTAGGCGTTTTCAGTAATCAATAACAGCCTACAGCTGCGTCTTGGTGGGCCACATTACCACTGAACGCATTTCCTTGTAGGGTTGAATACGTTTTTTGGGAATAAAACTGGCATAATTAAGAGGTATAAAAATAGCAATTTTTTTTTTTTTTTTTTTAGAAATGATGCTGTGGACCTCTGATGGGGTTTGTGATATCTCAAAAGCAGGTAAGTCCAACCAGGGAAGGGTATACTAGAAAAAGCACTGTATTTAACTTCAAAGCCTATGATGGTATGAGAGTAGTGGACAGAAGGGATTTCTGAAAAACACTGTTCTGAGGCATTAATTCATGTACATGAAAGGGAAAGTGCTGTAGAGGCAGTCTCTTCATTGTATACATTTCTTTTTATTTCTAGTTCTGGGCCAAAGATGGATGAAAACTGATGTAAGTACCGAAATGGTCCCAGAAGACAAATTGAAAGAGCAGTGCCACAATGATGACATTTTATTTGCTACTCTTGACAGTGGGGATGACGATAGATTTAAACCACCATGATTGTAACTGAGGCATACAGGATAATTATTTGGGACTACTTAAAGATTAGGCAGAAGTTACACAAAAATTTATTTTCATTCCAGGACCTATGAAGAAGCTGTATGTAATGAGCATGCAGGGTAAGTTTTGGTGTGCATGCAGTCTATTGAAAGTATACGCAGAATTGCTTGGAAGAGAAGAGGTCAGTTAGCACAGATTGTGGGCCCGCAACCAGTACAAAGGCAGAGACAATTTTGTGAAGTGCGTGTAGATGGCAGAATAGGTGGGATACCTGAAACCTAGCACTGGGTTGCTATAGAGCTGAGGGTTTTTGCATTGGGAACTATAGATCTCATACAAGTGCCATAATGGGGATAGGCCAGGTTGCTGGGCCCACAAGTGCACAATCAGCCATGTAACATTGGTGGGGTGACTTCCAGGGTATAGAAAAAATGCAGTAAAATGGTGGGTGCATGCAGACTACATCATGTGTAAGTTGTCTGCTAATTACTGTGACATACTCAGTCTCCTTTATTCTGTTTGAAATTGTAGGTGGTAGAAAAAATGGCTGACAGAACAGGAAACTGGAAGATGAAGCAGTGAGTAAAAACTAGAATTAGTAGATTAGGGTCAAACGAACATGGCTTGGCAAGGCTGTCTTTGCAATAAGCAGCCATGTCTCCTGAACACAGCCTGCATGATGACAAGCAAATGCTGACTAACATGAAGATCTTAATTAGCTCTATCTGATACTGGGCTCATTTAGTTTTTGGTAGGTCAAATTTAATCTTTTGACTGTATTAAAATTATCTTTTCTTTCTTAGGTTCAGTTGAAGTTGTCTGGACAAGTTGTAAGTACTGGGAAATTGTAGGCCAATATAAACTGACTGTAGGCCATTATAAAGTGTCATGCCTTTAAGATTTTAGGAGACATAGCATATATTTTCTTCATGGGTGTTTTCTTGGACCGTGCTCTAATCAGGGTTTTTGTAATGATGTTGGTCAAATGTCTGAGCTGAAAATAACCTGTGGACAAATTAACACTGAAGAACCCTGTGGCAGGCAACTAAAAATAATCGATGCTAAACATTTATAAGAGGTATAATTCTAGCTGCTATGTGCATGCTTTTGTTTAGATGGCATGATTCAGTAAGGCAATTGTTGGAGGAGCCATTTGCAGTATTAACTGCGTTAACATGTAACTTAAAGATGCATGTGCTACATTAGCTCTAAACTGCCTTAAGTTTTTTCAGGTCCAAATTGATCTTAATTTACATTTTTTTCCCTCCGAGACAGGGTTTCTCTGTAGCCGTGGCTGTCATGTAGATCAGGCTGGCCTTAACAAGTTGGTCTTTCAAGTGAGGGTAAGAAAGAATTTTTGTATGCTTATTTACAAGTAAGGTACTGTTAGTGATGACCTGTGAAGCTAAACAGATGGGAATCTCTCTGAATAAAATTGAAGATTGATTCTTAGTCTGAAACAGTAGTCACAAACTTCTGTAAATCTGTTTTTAAAAATAGCTGTTTATAAATGGGCCTGAATTTCTGCAGGTAGCAGTATCTGCCCCCAGGACAGAAGGCACTGCAAGCTTTACGCTAAGGTAAGTATTTTCTGGTGAAATATGTACATGTTGGGAAGCACTTTGAACAGTTCCCAAATAAAAGCCGATACAGTGATGATAACATAGTTCAGCAGACTTGTCCTGATGAACAGTCTTAAGTCTTTCGCTCCTATCTGATGTATCTGGCTGTAATTCTGTAGTTCACTGTAGTCTCCTTCAAAGACTCTTAATAGTTTCCAGTACTAGTTGGAAGCCAGGCACTAGTTAGTGATTATGAGACCAAAGCCTGAGGCCAAGGATTTGTAAACTTTGCTCTGCCTCTGACAACCCATTATAACAATTTACATTGTCAATATAAGCATATGGCTATGTAATAGTTCCACGGCCACTAGTCAAGAGAATTCACAGCCCATTGAAACCAGTGTTTTGAACCCAAACTATAGAATGTAAAGAATTTAGGATAAAAAATGTCTGAGCTAATAAGTTTTTTTTTTATCTTCAAACAGCCTCAATTCTGATTTTCAAGGTAAGTCAGCTTTGTACATATAGTCAGTAATATGGCCTGTAACCAGTGATGTGATGATTCTGCCAAATGATACAAAGTGATTTCACCTTTAAAACCGTTCCATTTTATTTCTGAGGTTACTGTAGTGACCTGTAACTTCTAACTGTTGTAAGCCAGATTAATAAGATTTTGATTCTTACTCTTTTAAGGGCTCCGATGGCAGAAGTGGACATGGAATGCACCTTTCTATTTCAAAGGTGAGAACTGAAAATTGCTGTATATAAACCCACTCCAGAATATATGATGATCTAACTTCATCTTGAACTCTCACACTGATTATTTGATGACAGTAAAGATCTGATATTCTGTGCTTTTAAAGTTATGCTTAAATTAAAATTGTGGAAATGTGCCTAACAGATACCTCTTTTGCAGGTGGCTGAATGGAGGCTCCAGTAGATTAAATCACCTTGTTATGCTGTAATAAGAATTTTATCATTAAAACAATAAATAGCATTTGGAGAAGTGTGCCTTTTGTTCTCACTGAGGTTGAAGTTCACTGAGCTAATTGTGGGTGGGGTATTCTCCAGAGAAAGACTGCTCAAACATTGGTTTAAGCTAGTGCCAGTGACTGGAAGTTCAGGATCCCTGTAAGCTCAAATCTTCCCTGACATTTAAATTGCAGATCAGTTAAATGGAAGCAGAACTACAGAAGCCAAAAAGCAAGGCCACAGAACAGGACTACTGTGGGGGTTTGGATTGGGAGGTGGTGCCAAAGGTTTTACAGCCTGAATGGCTCTGCAGTCTGGGGCCCTGTTGAAAGTAAACTACTGGTGAGGGGTGTAGGAAACGGGCATGTACGTAAGGGTTGAGGTAGTTCAGGATAACAGCACAGGCTGTTACTAAAGAGGCAATGTTGATGCTACATTTTCTGGGGATTGTTTCAGTACTGTGCCAGTTCTCTACAGGGACAAGGAAATTTTTAGAGGCAAGGTGACTGGGCCAGTTCGGACTTAGAAAAACCCTAACGTCTTAAGCCCCAATTCCTGGCACTGAAGTTCCTAGTCCGAGACCATGCTGTCCCCTAGTTCAATGTTGTGTTCGCTGGAACATGCTTGCGTAGTTAGAAGCATGTGCAGCTGAGGCTATCTACATCTTGCATTTTAATGCTTGGATTAAGAGGTTTATGCCACCATGCCTAACTCAAGTGCTTGTACAGATTTTGGGAGGTACACATACAAGTGACACATGGACCTGGCTGATGGTAACAAAGTTGTGTTTCTAGATGTGCTCATTGCAGAGGGGTAGCCTATAGTTTGTGTTGGGTTCAATCCCTGGCAACTGTTGGAAAAAATACCCTGTAATTTCAGCCTTCCAGAGGTGGTGGAGGCAAAAGACCTGATTTGGCTTCATGAGAAAAACTGCAATCTTAGATGCTGGCTGTGGTGCCTCCAAAGGGAGGGGTTGAAGCTATGCTGCTTAAACTTGTTAACGTGAATTATATGTAGTCATCTTGGAAAGAACTACCAATGTAGGGCATGCTGGCCTCAGTTGGTCAGGGATCCTGATAGATTTGTACACTAATTCCAGGTAAACTTATTTCTAAGTAAAAGGTATTGGGAGCTGACACTTAAGAATGGGGGTGTAGGCTAGGCTGAGGGGAGCAGGGTGTTCAATCAGGATCTGCTTAGTACCCTGGGAATAGGGCAGAGCGAGGAGCTGGGGATAAGACTGGAAGGCTGATTAGAACTGAAATGGGGAATTTTGTCTACTGCTCTCCCTATGGGCTCTCAGGAGTTGGGACAAAGCAGTGAATTGGTGGGAGAGAAATTAGGGGAAGATTTGTGTGATCGACTGGAGGGAAAGGCAGCTACAGAGCTAGTGAAGAGACTAGATGATTTAGAGGAATGGAGAGGTGAATACCTGCAGTTACCTATTTCCCTGATCTGAATGGCTTGTCGGGTTACCATGGCATGCCTATAGGTGTTCATTTTACTGTGTCAGTAGAACTTTAAATTACAGTAAGCTTCAGAGTTATGTGTATATGCCACAGGTTGATAGTGGTGTTCCTAGATTTCTATCTTCCTGAGATAGGTTTACAGATCTGTTCCCTCAGTGTTAGGATTATTAATATGCCCCACCACACCTGGGTCATGAGGGCCTGAACTATGTCCTTCATGTTTATACTCACTTTACTGATTTACTATTTCCTCAGCCAGCCTATCTATCTAGCTTATCTATCAGTTTATCTATCTGGCTATTTTAATCCAAAATGTTTTGGGGGTGGTTTCAGTGCTACTTCCTCCTGAAGGAGCATCCTTCTGTCAGCCTTGCTTTTCTGCCTGTAGGCTGACAGAACAATGGAGCAACCAGCGCACATAACTACCGTTTGTGCACGGCTAAAGACCATGGTGGTTTTGTAGCATCCTGGGTGTTTCACATCCAAAAAGTAGGAATTGTGGCTCTGCAACAGGCGCTTTCGTGTTATCTCATCTCTTCTGGAGGACGAAAGAGATCCTTTGTGAGAGGAGAGGCATGTTCTTGTAGGGAGGTCGTCACTTCCAGAAAGCTCCTCTTATGTGGTATGCATATGTGTAAAGGTCAGAGGACAACTTCTAGGAGCCTGTTCTTTCTTTTCACCTTGTGGATTCCAGGTATCAAATCCAGGTCTTCAGATTTAAAGGCACGTACCTTACCCAGTAAGCAATCTTGCCTATGGTCTTTTTGGAAACAGGGTCTCCTTGAGTTGCCTTGGCTGACTGGGGACTCCCTATGTAGATCAGGGTTGCCTCTGCCTCCAACTGCTGGGATCAAAGGCATGTGGTACCAAGTTCAGCTGGGAGTGTTTTGGTTTTGTTCATATTTTTAATTTTTCCTAGATAGACCACAAGATCTGACCTTTCCGGTAGGGAAATGTGGCACCTCAATATTGTTGAAGCTTATTACCGTTTTTTGTCTGTTTTGTCAAGACAGGATTTCACTGTGTATACGTGGCTGGCCTGAAACTAACTGTAGACCGACCAGCTTAGACTTGAACCTACAGAGACCCAGTTGCCTTTATTTCCAAGTACTGGGATTAAAAGGGTATGCCACCACTACCTGGCTAGCCTATTTTTATAGGAACCAAAAGAGGTGAGAGAAAATTAGCTGCCAAATAGGCTCTCATCTGTCTCCTTTAATCCTTCCATCTCAACCTCCTGAGCACTGTGCCCCAGCAGGCCTTTGTTAGATTTTGTTGTATACGGGCATGATGCTGGTGTGTACATTCTAAACAAGTGCTCTACTATTGAGCTGCTGTGCTGGTTTGAATAAGAATGGCCCCCAAAATTCGGATATTTGAATGTTTAGTTACCAGGGGGTGGTACTTTTTGAAAGGACTAGAAGAATTAGGTGTGGCCTTGCTGAAAGAGTATGTCACTAGGAGTGGGCTTTAAGGTTTCCAAAGCCTATGCCAGGGTGGTGGCACACACCTTTAGTCCCAGCACTCAGGAGGCAGAGGCAGGCAGCTCTCTAAGTTCTGAGGCAAGTCTGGTCTACAGAATGAGTTCCAGGACACCCAGCGTTACAGGGAGAAACCCTGTCTAGGAAAAAAAAGATGGAGAACTCTCTGCTACTTCTGCACATGTCTGTGTGTTTACTGCTATGCTTGATAATGGACTAAACTCTGAAAATGTAAGCCAGCCCCAATTAAATGCTTTCTTTTATAAGAGTTGCTTTGGTCGTGTTGTCTCCTCACAAGAATAGAACAGTGACTAAGCTGCACTTCCAGCCCTGCTTTATAATATTTCAGCTCATTTTGTATCTTCCACAAATGTACCTCCTGTTTCTGGCAGCAAGAGACCTGTGAGATAGCCAGGATCAGTGGCGTTCATTTCATATAAGCAGAGGGAGGCTGAGATGTTTGTCACTTGCTCAAGGGGCAATACTGAAGAGAATTTTGTGATTTGTGACTTTTTTTTTTTTATTCTGCTGCACTATGTCTTAGTATATTATGTTGCTAGCTAAAAGGTCACTACCAATTTATTTGGTTCTTCTAATGAGGCTGGATGAATGGAAACCCTCTCCCAGCATCAACAGGCCAGTCTACAAAGGCAAACATTTTCCTGTTTGACTTGCTTTCCTCTGTCCTGAATACTACACATCTGGGTATGAAAACATGCTTTGAAAACAGGAAGACTAAATGCTCCAATAAAGAGGTTTTCTGTTTTGTTTTACAATTCTCCAATTAGAAAACACGCACGAAAATCCCAATTACAGAAGTCCTAACAGTACACGCTACCAAATCACCACAGTGTGGTTTGTTTCTTACTCAGAGATGATTGCTTCCATAGAGACTTGATTCTAAAGTCTGTGGCAGGTCTGGATCTTATTAAGAGTTTAGGTGGTTGGAAGGTGTGGCTGAGGCTTTCTCCTCCTCTTCTAAGTCTGTTGGCCACGAGACCTGGATATGGTAAGGCTTCAGCTCTTCAGGAAGCACAGAATCGGGGGCATTGCTCATGAGGTCATGTCCTCGGTAGGATTTGGGGAAGGCTATGACATCTCTGATGCTGGATACTCCTGTGACAAGACACACCAGTCTGTCTAACCCTGTGACATAAAACACATAGGTAACAGGGTGAGAAATGTTTAGCAACTTTTTTTTTTTTCTTGGTGGGAGGGTGGTTCAAGACAGGATTTCTCTCTGTAGTTCTGGCTGTCCTGGAACTCATTCTGTAAACTAGACTGGCCTTAAACTCAAAGATCCACCTGCCTCTGCTCTCAAGTGTTGGGGCTAAATGGTCTAACTTTTTTTTTTTTTTTTTTTTTTTCTTTGAGACATGGTTTCAATATATAGTTGACTGCCCTGGAACTTGGAGAGACCAGCCTGCTTCTGTCTTCTGAGAGCAGGGATTAAAGACATGCCTACCACTACCGGCCTTGGTCTTTAAAAGATGTAGAGAATTTTTTTTTTTTTTTTTGGCCCTGGCTTCATACATTCTAGACAAGTGCTCTACCACTGAGCTACACCCTCAGGCCTGTAAAGAATTAAAATAATTTTTTTGTTTTGTTTTTGAGACAGGATGTCATGTAATCGTGGCTAGCTTGGAACTTTCTGATATTTTTATCATGTGTGTCTGTGCACATGACTGCAGGTGCCCACAGAAGCCAGAGGTGCCAGATCCCCTTGCTTCTCCAGCACTGGAATTATAAGTAATTGTGTTGTGAGCTGCCTGAGGTGGGTGTTGGAATTCAAAATCAGGTCATATCTGATGCACATAAGAAATGACTGTGGCTGCATACAGAGGACCTGCACAGACTCAAGTCAGATGGGGACCAATGGTCAGGGGGGGGGGAGTGGACATGAGCTTCCAGCCCTAACCAAGACGATAAC